CACCATGCCCGTGTCCCGATCGACCGCCACCAGGTTCGGCTTGGCTCCCTCCTCCTCACTCATGTAGAAGTAGTCCAAACACACCGTAGGCAGCCGATCTTCTCCATGATCCACTTTCCGATGAACTTGGACCACTCCTCTTGCTTTGATACATTCTTCGCACCAGCTCCTGTAGACCGCGTGCCCGGTCGCCTCATGCTCCTTTCTCTCACGAGCAGACGGATTGGCTGGACTCCAGCCCGGATTCACCGCTCTGGCCTCCACTGACTCCTCAACCGCTTCTCCGGCGCCACCTCCTCCAGGTCTTACCGGAGCCTCATCCTCCAGCGCCCATACCGTCTCGCTCTTCTTCTTCCAACCATACTCCTTCCGCCATGGCGGAATGTCGTCTTCTTCCTCCTCATCTTTATCCTCTTCCTTTGCCATGGCCTTAGGTCTGGCTCCCAAGCCTGATGCGGCCGGCATTGGATCCTCGGCGCTCGATGCGGCCTCCGGCGACGAAGACTCCAGCATGGCTACCTCCACCATCTCAGTCACTTCCTCCTTCTCTTCCAACTCCAGGTAGAAGTTGTAGATCCCGTTCTCCTCCACCAAGGGGATAAGCCCCTTGTCATGTTCCTTGAGGGCCCACTCCATCAACTCCTCCATCTGCTCATGGACCGGGTGCGTCTTCGGGATGATCGTCCCCCCGCCGGAGGTCATCCAGGTGCTGTACCCTTTCTGATGTAGCCGACCTGCGCTGATCAGCACCTTGTGGACATCCGTGGCCTGCACGTTCAGCACCCGTTTGACTCCTCCGGCATCGTACCCTGAGACCTTCACCGGCCCATAGTTCTTGATCAACTCCCCCGAGGCCGTCTTGAAGTAGTTCTCCCTCTCCAGCAGCTTTTCGCTGTACCTCTTGGGAAAGGCCGTGACCGAGGCGCCAGTGTCCAGGTTGCACTTGAGCCACTTCTGGCTGATCCCAGCCGCCTCTCTCTTGGCCCTCATGTTCTTGGCCAGTGGAGACACCGCCCATGGTCGTGCCGTAGAGCTCGTGTTGGACAGGGCACACAGCTCCAGGCCATTCGCCTCTCCTTCCGGCTCTCCTCCAAGGCTGCGGCATCTTTCTTCTTTCCTTTCTGCTTCCCTTTGGACTTCCCTCCAGCAGCTCCTCCACCAGCCGCCCAACAGTCCTTCTTCATGTGGCCGGTCCGTCCGCAGTTGTTGCATTTGCCGTCAAACTTCTTGTTCTGGCTGGGCCCCATCGGACGTGTTGAAGCCCCTTTTCCTCGGCCCATGCTCTGCGGCTTCGACCAGCAGTCCTTCTTCTTGTGCCCCACCTTGCCGCAGTTGTCGCACTTGCCCTCGAAGCGCTGAGCCTTTCCGGCGCCTTTGCCCTTGCCCTTCACCAGCGATGACAGGCTCCCTGACACCGCCTTGACCAATGAATCCACGTCCATGGGCACCGCCTCGTTCGCGGCGGCTTTGCTGAAATTGCCCGACACCGTCATCTTGCTCCCCGTCTTGGCCTCCATGAACGTGACCACCTCCGCCTCCATCTCCTCGAAGGTCTTGAAGCGGCTGTGGTTGAGCAAGAGGTGCGTCTCCAACTCCCGAGGAACTAATTTTTCTAATGCATTCATGGCGAGGCTGTCGGGCAGGTCCTCACGCCTCCCGAATTGGTCTTTCTTTTTATTGTAGCGGCCTCTCAAAGACTTCCATCTCTCTAGGGCGTTGCTCAGTGACTCGTACCCCGCTCTGTCGGGGTTCGTGAGGGCTTGGAGCATGATCCTCTTCCGGCCTCCCGTGGCCGGATCATACTTCTTGTGGAGCATCCTCCAGGCCTCCAGCCCATTGCCCCGAGGGGCATTCTCCACCAGGTCGAAGACCACGCCCTCGGTCGTGGCTCTCAGCACGGTGTAGAGCTGCTCGTTGAACTCCAGCACCTCATCCCATTGATCTATGAGATCAGCGCCCGTGCCATAGGCCTTGTCGATCTCCTCGGCCACGATGTTGCCCTCGGAGCCTGCCGCCCACTCCAGAACCTCCCGGCTCTTGCCGCTGAAGACCCCCGTGACATAGTCCTCCAGCTTCGATGCCCAAACCCGGAACTTCTCCTCGGCATCTTCTCCCAGCGTGTAGGGTTTCCCCAACCCTCTCTGGTCCACCAGGCCTCCACGCTCCTTCTTGCCGAGCTTCGCCAGGGCATCCGGCAAGCTCTGCAGTGCCCTGAGCACCTCCGTCTCCATGCCTCCAGAGCCACTCGCCAGGCCCTGCTCAGTGGCCTGCAGCCTCGCCTGCAGCTGTGCGTTCTCCTGCTGGACCTGGACCAGCTGCTGTTGCACCTGCTGCAGAGCTCTCATCACCTCCTCCGCCGTAGTCATCGAGGCAGCCGATGATCACCAGGTGCAGGTCCATGCTGTAGGCCAGCACCAGGACCACCGCGGTGATCCACCTCCTCCAGCGACCTCCAGTCGCTCGGCCACCCAGGACCAGGGCCCTGCCACCAGCCTGCCGGCCTTTCTCCTCCGGCTCACCCCGGCCCGGCGCAGGCTGACGGTCTCGCCTCTGGCCGATGACCCGGCGTCTGCCCCTGGACTTGTCCAAGGGCTCCGCTACCATGCAGCGCGGCCCTATTTCTTCCCTTTCCTCTTGGGTCAGATGGCTTCAGTCAAAGTGCAACATGTCTGCACAATATCTTTCAAGTGCCCAATACCAACATATAAATATTTAGTCAATGAAAGGCAATCGCCCAAGCAAAGAAAAAATAGATCCATAAATTATTATACCTCAAAAAATCCATTCCCATATATAAATATTGCAATATAATATTTCAACCAAAATAATAATAATATATATAAATCAATTATTTTTCCAATCTCCTAAAAAGGTTTTTCATAAACATATTCGTTCCATAACAAGCCATGCCAATCAATCTAAAAAATTATATATTCGATTCTCTTAAACTAAATCGAAATCGGCCAACTTCACCATCTCATCATTAACCTAAATATCTTATCACTTAAATGCCCATTTATAACACCCTTTTTTAAGGCCAAATCAAAAAGAAATCTCGGAGAAAAAACGATTTCAATTCTAAAACAAAGCATTCCACTCCTCTAAAAAAATATTTGTTATTCCTCCACAATTTTTTCAACCAAAACAAACAAAGACACAAAGACACAGAGACACAGAGACACAAAGACACAGAGACACAAAGACACAGAAACACAGAGACACAGAGACACAGACAGACAGACAGACAGACACAGACAAACAAACAGACAAACAAAGAAACAGATACCAGAAACAAAAAGACCAACAAACAAAGAGAGACAGAGCAAGACGCCGACAAAGAGACAGAGGCAAAAAGAGACACACCTTCGGCGCGCAGCACACACAAACAAACAAACAAACAAACAAACAAACAGACAAACAGACAAACAGACAAACAGACAAACAGACAAAGACAAAGACAAAAACAAACACAGAGACAAAAACAGACACAGACACAAACACAGACACAGACACACAGACACAGACACAGACACGCAGACACAGACGCACAGACACACAGACACACAGACACACAGACACACAGACACACAGACACACAGACAGACAGACAGACAGACAGACAGACAGACAGACAGACAGACAGACAGACAGACAGACAGACAGACAGACAGACAGACAGACAGACAGACAGACAGACACAAACAGACAGACACAGAGACACAGAGACACAGAGACACAGAGACACAAAGACACAGAGACACAGAGACACAGAGACACAGACACAAACAGCCACAGACACAGACACAGACACAGACGCAGACAGACACAGACAAAGACAGACACAGACAGACAGACACAGACAGACAGACACAGACAGACAGACAGACAGACAGACAAAGAAACAGATACCAGAGACAGACAGACCAACAGACAAAGAGAGACAGGGAAAAACACCGATACTCCGGCGCGCAGCGCGCCGGATTCTGATGTCGACATGCCACAGGCTTCGCCTGCGCACGTGCACGCGTCCGACTCCGAGCCCGAGAGCCGTGATGCAGACGGGCTGCAAGAACGCGCGTGTGAGCTCTTGGCTGCGCGTGCCCCAGTTGCACGCGGCGGCTGGCCGCTTGTCCCCTGGCGCCCTCGCCCTGTGGAGCGAGCCAGCGCAAAACGGTTTATCACGCGCTTGTCTCGGCGCTGCCCCGCCGCTCCCGCGGCCAGGAGGTGGTTGCAGGACTGCTTATCGCATCGCCAAACTCTCGGAAGATGGGCCAAGATTTCAGCCAAAAT